TATTTATAAAGTTGAATAAATAAATTAGTACTTATAATCAAAGTTTTAAGGTCTAAGTCTTCAAACATTAAGGACTAAATTGATACTAAACAAAAGTTCAAGGATATTTCGGTTCCAAAAATTAAAGTTTAAGGACATTTTTAGTACTTTTTAAAGTTTTGCAATATGTTTGACCTAAATCAGAAAGTTGAGGGACTAACATGGTTATTTAACCAAAAAATTTAGGTCCTTCAACTTTAAAGTTTACATACTTTTCGTCCCTCAACTTTTTTAATATTTTTTTTAAGCTTCAACTATGAAAAATACAATGTTTTATAGTTAATTAAAAGATAAGAAATGCAGAAAACAGTAAGACATGAAAATTTGCCAATATAAAACCTTCAAAACTCACAAAAATCATATATATTCATCCTAAAATATACTCAAAACAACAAATCTGAAAATGCTAGCTAATATCGAATACTTAATATAAAAATTTTGTCATTAGCCATTGAAATTTCACTAAAAATTTATAAAAACATTATTCATAACTATTCATCAAATTTATCTAAAAGAAAATCTAATAATATTAACTAATATCTAATGAACTAATTAATAACAATATTTAACGGTTTAAATTTTAGAAAAAAAAATATACATAAAATATATAAAAAATAATTATATTACTTAAATTTTACTTACCACTGCTTGATCCACTAGATTGCAAGAAGAAAAATGTGTTAAACTGCTTCAAAGGGAAGAATGGAGGAAATGAGAGCAAGAACAACTCGCAGGAGAAGAGGAAAATGAAAATGAAAGGAGAAAGACCAAAATGAAAGCAAAAGGGCGGTTCGACAGGGCAATAGAGAAACTTACCGACGAAACCCACATTGCTACAGTCTAAAGCTGATCATCTCTGCGTTGCATCAGAATTCTCGTTGACCGGGCCAATCACCGACAAACATTAAGTTAGCAATGTATCAATTACCGACCTAAACCTTGTTGGTAAGCCAAATAAAAGCTGCAACACCAGTGGCCAGCAGTCGGATTCGCGGGGAGTTGGGGAATGGCAAATTACCGGCAAGCATAATGTCAAAAAATTTAATCAAAAAGTTGCACTCCCTAACGCAAGCAGCCAGCTGGTTGGCAGGGGAGTGGACATTACCGAGAAGAGGGACGTTGGAAATTGATCCTCAATTACCGACGAGACTATCGTTCCAAAAATAAATTTATAGGCGTGCTTCTCGTCGGTGATGTGGCTTTCCGTCCTTCCCCCACCAGCCGAATGTTGGCTGCAATTACCGATAAGGAACATGTATGTATAATCTTAAATTACCAACAAATACTGTCTGTAAAATAAATAATATATCTTACTGGTATTTTTATTGTTTCTCAAGTTTCAGACTTAATTCTTGTCAGTAAAACGATGCTTCACCGAGAAAAATTCTTACCTCGATGATATTTGGTCGGTGAAATTAAGTTTTCTTGTAGTGTGAAATTAAGTTTTCTTGTAGTGTAAACTAAATTATGCAAAGCGTTTTTTGGAAAAGGCAATTTTATAGAAACAAAATATTATAATTAAAATTAATTGAATAGCCTTGCATGCAATTAAAATTATTTTGAAAATGGCACTGAGGGCGTCTTAATTGGCCCAGTAGAGATTTCACAAAGGGCTGGAAACCATATGCAGGGAACAAAAGGTATGGTTACTGCTAATGTGTTATATTATGGGATAGTTTTTCTATGACTATGTCTATTGTATTACTTTACATTTATAAATTATTTATTTTGTTATGTGCAGGAGTATCTTCTATATTTTAACTTAGGTTAAATACCCTTTTTGGTCCCTCTACTATAGGAAAAAACCCCTTTTTAATCCTTGTACCGAAAAAATCCCCTTTTTAGTCCTTACTGTTCACAAATCCGGCCCCTTTTTAGTCCTTCTGTTAATTTTTGGCTGATGTGACAAGTTAATTAACGAAAAATTTTATTTTTTTTCTTTACTTAAATTACGTGTAAATTCCAGCTGGTAAAATTCAATGACATGGCTAAATTTTTTATCTTTAATTACCAATTTACCCTCATTCCCTCCCCTATCCTCTCCTTCCTTCAGCCTTTTTTTTCTTTTTTTTTTTTCTTTTTTTTCTTACCTTCAGGCGAACCCTTGATCTC